TGCCACCGAACAAGAATGTTATGCCATCATATCAGCCATTGAAAAATGGCATAAATATCTTGATGGACGTCCATTTGTTATTGAAACAGATCATAAACCATTATTACCATTTAATTTAAAACAACAACTGAATTCAAAATGCGAGCGATGGCGTTTAAAATTACAACAATATCAATTCACCGTTCATTATATTAAGGGCAAACACAATACAGTAGCTGATTATTTATCACGTTCGCCTGTCGATGATGCGATGAACGACGAAGATGATTATCTCCCAACTACGTCCCGAGGGACACAAACCGAAAATTTTACACCACTACAGATCGTAGCACCCGTTGTCACCCGAGCGCAATCAAAACGACATGATAAGAGGGTTGATCGTTATGCGACGGATCAGACCTGTGATCCACTGCAACAGAAGACGAATGATCACACGTCCGTCGATCACTCCTGTGTTGCACAAGACCGCCCGAGGACCACTAGAAACGCCACTGATAATTCAATCGTTCCATCCGCAAAAGGTGATATCAAAGCATTGAACCCAAATGATCCGAATCAAATTACCCCATTTACACGCGAACAATTAAAAGCATTACAACATCAGGACGAACAGGCAGCACAGATAATCCGGAATATTTTATCAACGGCAATATGTTGATGAGAAAGTTGTCTCCACTAGTTCCATTTGTACCTAAAAGACAAATACGTGCCGACATTATAAAAATTTATCACGATACACCTGTAACCGGAGCACATTTTGGTCGTGATCGAACGACATCAAAAATTAAACAACGTTATTTCTGGCCATCCATGATAAACGACATAAAAAATCACGTGCAATCATGCTTATTGTGTGCACAATATAATCCACGTCGATGTAAGCCACCTGGAGCATTAAAACCAATCCACTAGAGCTGTTGAAACTTTCATAAATAGCACGGTTTTGTAACCTAATTTTGTTTATGAAAACAAAAAAGATTTCTCAGGCTGGCTATAGATCGTGAGGCCACCAGAGAACTTCTGGAAAACCGGAGTTAAGGAACGTCGGCGTTATATGATTTCGATTAGTTTTCTGTGTGAAATTTTCACAAAATGGCTAGGAGAAGAGAACTAAAAGAAAACTCTAATGAAACCTTATGAAATGACTTAGCAGGGTCGCCAATTGTTAAGCTCTTAGTTTTAATCTCCTTCTTTATCTGGGGAAAAATATGTGACCTTGTTTGTAAAATATCCAACAGAAAATGGGTAGGAGAAGAGAACTAAAAGAAAACTCTAATGAAACCTTATGAATGATTTGTGCATAATAATGTATTGACATAAATAGAAAGAAAGATAAATACAACAATACACAAACATGCACAATAATGAAAGATGAATTCATACAATATATAAAAGCACACACGTATAATAAAATTTCACACAAGTTAGATAAAATGATACTGACTGGTCTGATTGACCAAAATATGGGTTTATATTGGATGATAGAGAATGTAGAGAATAATAGAACTATATAAAAAGAGAAAAAACCATTGTACAGAAGGATCTGGAGAAGAGATAAATAAACTAAAAATATACAATGCTCACTGTACACAAAATGAGAAGAACAATGTAAGAGAAAGAAAATGATGTAATAATAGTCTACGATCTAAAATAGTCACTGAGCAGAAAAATAGAACAACGAAATGTATGTGTATTATCTGGACAGAATGAGATGTGACCGAACAAACATACATGGAAAGAACAAGAAATTGGAAAAGAGCTAAGAAGAGATATGATCGAAAAATGTGACTGTGAAGGTCACCGAGAGCATAACAGTGCCGATCAAAACCATGCTATTTATGAAAGTTTCAACAGTTCTAGTGGAAAACTAGCGATTTTGAAAGCCATTATATCGTGAGCCTATCAAAGGGCTAATCTATGAAACACGTAAAACTCAATAACTCGGGAATGAAATCAGTTGTAAAGCTGGAACGTTTTATGAATATTACAGACATATAGAGGAGCCACAGAAAGAAATTTGAACTGTTAACTACTCTTCTAAAGGGAGGGGAGGGGTGGACCCCCACAATAGGTACTGTTAAACCCTCTCAGATTGTAGAGAACACTTGACTGCATATATCCGGATATCTTTTCGGACGGCCGATAAGTATTCACGGAGTTATAAATTAATGAAGATAAACTTTTAGCAAAAATTTTAATTGCTGGACAAAGTTTTCAAAACTTAACTGTTCGATCAACACTAATTATACCAATGTCGTTCTAGTGTACTTTGGTCGAGAATCATTTTTAGTTATAATCGCATTTAAGATATTTCAGAAAAAGCTGTGCTGAGATATAGATTAATCATTAATTAATTCTAATTAGCGCCGACTGCGGCCAGTTCAGCGATTAGCTTTTTTATTCGAAAATCAACAGTTATTTGAAAATAATCACGCGATACATCATTCGGATTAGCTTTTCAAGCGCTGCAAAACTGTATATTTGCTTTTCAGAATAGGATTTTGACTAAGTTATGAATTTGCCAAGTTTTGCTGAAAATAGCCCAGAATGGGTTATGTCCCCTAGTACAGGTTTTCACTACGTTGCTCCTCTTTCTTCTGAAAATCAATACTGCCACGAGATTTAGTGTGTTCGATAATGTATGTTTGGTGATTTCAGAAGGTCTCAGAGCGAAGAATAGAGCAGTCCCAAGGCTTCGGAAAAAACGTGCGTTTTCATATCAGCATACAGGATCTAGAGTCAATTTTTTGGTCGGCCGTCACGATAGCCATCTGAACCTATATCGATTCTAGTGCCAGTCTCAAGAAGCGAAAAAAAATATTTTCAATCTATACTTTTGTAGATATCACCTTGGGCTACACGCACGTTTCTGCTCGCCTCATACTGATGGAAAAAAATGAGACTTTTCATCGATTTGTATGGTTTATCGATTTTAATGTTTCTCAGTATTTTGAGTCGTGTACCACAAAAGAGAGGTGAACAAAAGCCAGACTTTGCCAGAAACTGTGTGCGAGTCCGCTCTATAAAATGCACTATTCCAAAATTTATCTAAAGGGACGCTTCATACTCAAAACTGATTCGCATTGAAAAGACTCTTCTCGTGTTAAGTGACCT